CTTCCAGGCCAGGGTGGGGTTCACCGCATTCTTGAGCTGGATGCTGAACCTCATTGAGACAGCAAAGTCCCGGAGGCGGCAGGGCTCGGCGAGCCTCTGCGGCGGGCTGGGGGGGAACCAGACGTACCGGCTCGAAACAGGAATCCGAGGACTCCTGCTTAAGCCCTGGGCTGGGGAGGTGGGCTCCTCCTCTGGTGCCACAGCAGGAGGAGCTGAAGCACCTGCTCTCAGGAGGGACAGAACTAGCCTTTGAGCGGGAAGTCTCAGCAGGCCCTCCCACAGTCGAAGTTTTCTTTTCGCTCTCAGGCACCACTCTTCAGCTGGGGGCTGCCGAGGATGGCCTCTGCCCACTCCGAGCCTTCGTGTTGGGGCGGGTGAGATCCCCAGTCCCAGAGGGAGGTGGGGCGGGATTGAGCTGAGCAGCCGGGTGCTTGAAGAAAGACTTGGGAACGGCCAGGGCGGGGTCCATTTCCCTTCGTGGAGCCTTACCCCTGCCAGGCTTGTCCGCCTTGCACGGTTGTCGCAGACGAACAGCAGTGATATCGGCACCAGTGCGCTGGGTGCGCTTGCATCTGGTACATTTCCACTGGACACCTTCGAAGTGCATGGAGTGGGAACCATGACACTTCCAAAAACGATCAAAGATGTCCTGGCCCTGGTACCCCAGACACGGTTGGGCCAGGAGCCTTTCAACTTTGTCGCGCTTATCAATTTGCTGTACACCGAGCAGGCATCTGGAACACTTAATCCTAGCCCCGCTTTGGTGTTCAGAGGTCCAAGACCCGAGGGCGGGTTGGAAACCGCATCCCTCAAAAGGTCACGTTTGTTAGGGCCATCACCTGTTTCCTTGGAGGAAACCGGCTCAGATCGTTGCTTGTTTTTCCGAATGGTTTTTCTGGAGAAGCCGGCAGGTCGGGACTGCTTGGGAACCGAAGCCATCTCTCCTTCGAAAAGGACCTGCGGGCCCTGATCCTTATCATAGGAAAAGAGCAAGGCAACTCTCTCCGCCAAGAACCTTTGGACTACCTTGGTGTCAGCATCAGATCTGGCAAGGTTGGCTTCCAGAGCCGGGTCCCTGGCCTGGTTAGCCTGGTCCCCCGCCAGTTTGTCCACTTCGGCATTGGCAAACCATCTCCAGGGCTGGAGGCTGCCAAACTCTTGGCAGTGCTGTTCCAACGATTGGTGGCTCCTAATCCAGTGCAGCCGCAGACGGTCGCCATGTTCCCTAATGGGGATGAAGAGGTCCAGTGAGGTCTTGCCCAAGGACCACCTCTCCACGCGGGTTTTCACCCCTTTTGCATCCATGGTGACATCCACGTCTCCAGCGGTGTGCTGAACCAGGAAAAGAAGCGCAGAGGCCTCTGCCCTGAAGACAGTTTGTTCACCAGAAACCGGCCCTGCCGCAGTGGCAACGACCGTGATTTTGTCGCCTTGCACCTTGTAAGCTATGGCCGCCCAAGTCATTTTCCAGACCCTAGGGTCACCTGTGGAGCCCGGTGACCCGTCGGTGGCGTACCTGAGCTCCGGGTCGTTCAGGACCTGGCCTGTTGCCCAAAGCCCAGTGAGAAACGGCTCTCGGGGCCGCTGGGCTTGGAGGACAGCGTGGTGGAAGACCCCGGACCCTCACACTGCGAGGAACTCGGGTGAGGGCTTGTTCGACCTCGAGTGGGACCGGGTGATTGTCCTTCCACCACTGGCACTGCCACAAGAGGTGCTCCTGCGAGGCTGGTGTCGCAGCCCGAACACCACGCCTTGGAACCACATCTCAGGGCCCCCTGCCAGACGGCAAGAAGGGCCTTGGACTGGAGTTTGGGCAGCTTCTTGAGGAGCTTCCTACCGACAGTCCAATCAATCCCCTGCTGTAAAGCCTCGCCAGCCTCCAGCTTGCTGATGCTGTCATGGCGAAGCAAGCGCCAGTGGTAGTGAACCTGACGAGTCACCTCTTCAAGCTGGACTGGGTCAGTGAGATGGTAACGGGTATCACCGATCTGCCAGGTGGCGGGCTCGAGAGGTTTCCACCCCATGTCCTTGAGGTAACAAAGTGTGGCTCCAATCGGCCCGGAAGCGATTCTCCAAGGTTCTTTGTGGGCTTCGACTTTGGAGCACATGCCTCCGAAGGCAGTGGAAAGCATTACAGCCAAAGCCTCCGGCCAGCGGGCAATCACTGAGACGTAGGAACGGAGAGGCTGCGCGACCAAAAGCGCTGAGGGATCAGGCTTGGTCTCAGTCCGGTAGTCCAGGACAATCTCAGTGGCCCCATTAGTCATTCCGCCATTGTGGGCGGCCGTGAGCTGCCGGAGATATCTCTTAGGAGCTAAACCAACAGCCTGGTGGCCGTAGGTAGCAGCAGACTCAACCCCGGCCCTGGCAGCCTTACTGCGGGCCGGGCCCGCAGTGGCAAGCTGCGAAAGCTTTTTGGACCTGGAGGCCGCCTTAGAAAAGCGCTGCCTGTGGATGGTGACCCGGCGCCTCTTGCCGCCTGCCGAATCCACACCAAGGTCCCTCCAACAGGACTGGATTTTTGGGTTTTCAGGGCCCAACTGAGCGGCCAGTTTCTTTTCCATAGCCCTGCTGGAGCATACCCACGCAGATTTGTCTGTGGAGATGGGAAGCCTCTGAGCAAGAAAAGCCTGCTTGACGTGCCTCCACACCTCCAAAGACTTGTGCACCACTTCAGTCACCGAGTTGCCCTCCACATCAAAGCTGGAGTCATCACTGTAAAGGTCGCAATGCCCCAAGCTGGGGTTGGCATGGATGGGCTCCATGACCGGATGCATCACTAACTTCGAGAGACCTGGAGCAAAAGGGCACCCAGCAATGATGCCCCTTGTTGGCTGCACAGGGGCTGCCAGTGTGTCTTCTGTGCAGATGTATCTCGAGTGAGTGTACAGGGCAATGCAGTGGTGCAAGATGAGGGGAGGAAACGCATGCTTTTGCGCCTCCTTAATGAGCTGGTACAAACCAACATGCTCATAAAACTCCCTTAAATCAAGCAGCAGCGTGACCCCCTGCCTGCGCAGGTGGTGCTGGATTTCCCCTCGAACCAATCTGGCGAGGGCGATGTCCAGCGACGCGAGTCCCTTACGGGCACCGTCCCAAGGTGCCCGAGGTACGTAGGCTTCAGCCCACTTTTCGTACAAGGGCCATCTGGCCCTGGCCCACAAGCGGTACCCGTAGGAAGTGAGCCCTATGGGTCTTTGGCAACATTGCCACCGCCGTAGTAAGGACTGGCCCTGGCATGGATCCCTGTCGTTCCCAGTCAGCCACCTGGTCCGCTAGCTCCGCGAGCTGGGCCGGCGAAGCTTTTTTAAGCACGGCAGCCGTGAGGCCGTCCAGTCCAGGAGCCTGGCTCCCAAGTTTCTTAACAGCCTTCTGGAGGGCCGCACATTGGCCTGCGCGCGAAGGGAGCTCAAGGCCTGCGCACTGTCATGATCGAGGTCACCACCTGGTTGCCAGAGGCTCAGCCAGGCGGCTCGCCTCGCGTGAGGCCTAATTTCCAGGGGAAGGTCCCTGTACGGACGTACAGTGACAGCCTCTGGCTTACGTATGGCCGAATAGAGGCCTTTCATGCCATCCGAGGTGGCAGTCTCCAACCATTGCTGCTAGTTGTTGGTTTGCTGGGCGTTGTGATGACGGTCCGCATGCTGCTGGACCATGCTCACATGTTCGACCAAAGTTTTAGGAGGCACCTGCCGACGGCGAAGGATGCCCGCAAGCTCAGCACGGAGAGCCGGGACATCAACGCCTTCGACCTCCACGTCCTGGTCCTCTTGCTGGAGGTGACTAAGGAGAGCAGGGATGACCTTAGGACTGAGGCGACCATCAGCAGCCTGGGCGACCCACAGCTGCAGACGGCCCCAGTAGCTTCTTTTCCTGCCAAGCCACGGATAGGCCGGGGAGCTGGGGGCCACCAAGGGCTTGGTCTCGCCCACCAGATGCCAGGCCCGCCCTTGCTCACCATCTGCGCACGCAGTGCCTTCCAACCATCTCACCCACCCTCCCCACGCCACGTCTCTGTGGTGCGACGAGACTGGTTCGAGAAGCGGGGTTGTTCAAGGCACGTTTTGTCAAAAGTGGGTCCGCGTAGGACCGGTGTGCCGAGGCCCCCAATTTCAACCTGGTACAGCACGGCCGCATGGGGCCGAAAGGGTACGTCCCACGTAGTAGTGGCCACGACGAGGCCTACTAGCTCTCTGGAACAAAGCGCATAGTCGAGCGTGCGTCCATGCGTGGTGGTAGGTTGGTCAGGCAGAACCACCCCCGCTCTGGACAGGCGAGGGAAAGTGGAGTCCTGCAGATCCTCCCACGTGAGGTTCCAATCCCCTGAAACAAACCATTTGCACGAAAAAGCCTGGATAACTACCAAAAGCTCAGCAAGGATTTTGGAGTTGATCTCCCCTTCAAGGCCAGTTCCACTCTCGAGATAAACTGTCCCAATGGCCAAATCATGGCCTTGGAAGATGCCAAAGTGAAACCCTTTGCCCTCTAAGGAGAACTTTGGTCCTTGTCGCATGTTAATGTGACGGCGGGCACCAATCATGACGCCCCCTGAGGTGCCCTTGCCCGTGTTGAAGGCCGGGACCACTTGTGTACACCATTTGTCCCTGTCGTAGTTGATTTGTGCCTCCGTACACTGTTCGCCGAGAAGGTGGAGCTCTTGGAGGGCAAAGGCATCGGGCCTCTGCTCTGAGATCCATGTCTGGATTTCTCGACGATGTGAGGTGACATTGGCAGAGAGAAATCGTAGGGTTTGCTTACCTTGAGGTGCCTTAGTTTTGCTGAGCTGAGAAACAGCAGATATGATGCCCTGAGCATCCTCAAGGTTCTCTTCGAGGCATGTGGCTATGCGATAAGCCACCCAGTACTCCATCGTTCCTTCTAAGAAACCTTTTTCATGTTGCTCAATCCACTCCAAGAGCTGGGCAGATTTGGGGAGCATCTGCATGGAAGGCTCTTCTTCTAGGATGGCTTGGAGAGATACCCAGGGCCCCTCCGACAAAACCCCAGGCCCAGTTGGCCGGGGAGCAGCAGGGGCCAAGCTCTGAGATAGAGAGTGGGCTCATTGCCGGCGTTGCTCGCAAATGGGGTGGCTGGAACCCTTGCTCCAGCTTCTAGCCCTCCTGAGCCTGTCTTCTTGGCTTGAAGCGTCCACAGCCAGGGGGAAAGGATCCACCCGCAACTTTCTAGACCAGGCCCCTTTAACTGCCCAAGGGCTGCATGGTCCTATGCGCGAGCACAGCGCACAAGGCATGGCCACCTTCGCAACTCTTTCAGGCTTGCGATAAGAGCTCTGAGTGCCCGTCAGGGCCGTGGCTTTACTCACGACACGCTGCTTCCTAGTAGGCATGGCCACGTGAGAAGCCTTCCTCGACCACGAAGGAGAATTTTCCGATGGCTCGTCTTCCGAGGTGGTCTCACCAATGTCCTCAGTAGGCGCGCTGTCATCATAATCATGAAAAAAGAACCTGGGGCCCGACACCTCAACTGCTGGGAGAGCCTGGTGGGAGGATTGGGGCTGGTACTCAAAACCGATGGCCCAGCTGTAAGGCAAACACTGCTCAACGGGTCTTGTCCATAAGCCGTGTTGCCCCAACCAGTGACCGGCGGCAGGGCTGTAAAACAACTATCCTGCCAAAAGGCCCCGGATCCCTATCCGTTGGATCCTGTTGTGAGGCCCAGGCATAGCCTCGACGTCGAGGCACGGAAAACCACGGGGAGAGGAGCTGCTCCCGCCCTTGTGAACACGTTGACGTGACGGGCGGCAGTGTACTGCTCTCCCTTTTATAAACAGCAGAGGGCCGAAGTGCAGCCCTGCAGAGAGCTAAGGTGAGGAGGTTCAAGCAGAGCAGGCCCCCGCACCCCAGAGTAACCAAAAGGGGAACAGAAGATGAAGAAAAGATGTGGGTCCACGGCACCTGAAGCATGGCCTGGGTACTGTCGAAAACCTCAAGCCAGCATGCCCAAGTGCCCCCACCTTCGCCCTACTCCCCTGAAGCTTCTTTGGAGCCCCCTCGGGAAGTGCGCCGGGGACTGCGGTCACGCCCTTGCGAAAGCCCTTCTCTTTCAGCACCCGGCTTGTCCTTCATCTCCACATCCGGCCCGGTCTGCGCAGGCGGGGGAGTGACTTTGGGCTCACCAGCCTCCTGCGATTCACTTGGGACTGTCGGCGTGGGCCCAAACTCAAAGGCTGGCCGGGTAGTGCCCAAGCCAGGCGGCATGTGGGCAACCGAGGCAGTCTTCAGCAGAGCCAGCTGGTCCTCAGAGAAGACCATTCCAAGAGACTTGCCAATCCCTTCGAAGACAGCAATATCTCCTAAGCTGGGTTGGCCCGCACTGGCAGAATTGCCCTGTTCCAAAGCCTCCGAAAGCTTGGACTGGGCATCGTCGATGGCCTGCTTGGCTTCTTCCATCTGCTTGTCAACGGTCTTGGTTTCCTCCACCAAAGACTTCAGATGTTCCTTGGCCTGCGTGATGGATGCCTGCAGATCCATTTTCTTTCTGGCCAACTGGCGGTACTTGTGCGAGGCCTTGGTCAAGGCATTCGACGAGCGCTGCCCCTCTTCATATGGAGTGGCCGACGTCTTATCAGCCTCCAACTCCAGCATGGC